GTGGTGGTGGTGGTGGTGTTCAGTGCTGTTGAGTCGCAGGCGACTCATAGCGACCCTATGAAGGAGAGTCCTCGATGCTTGAGTGCCTTTTATCCTCTCTCCAGGTTCAAAGGGTTTCTGGAGGCAAGCTATTAAGGAAGTGGATGCCACTCCTCCTTTCCAAGCTTGTTTTAATCCCAGAGCTCCAGTAGACTGAGTTAAACTCTCAAATTAAAGCCGTCATGTCATAGAATTATTATTGATTTAGTGACTGGGGTGATCTGGATGGGAGTGTCGAAGACAGTGCGATTGACACAGGACAGAGCAGAGTTTAGGGCTGTTGTACATAGGGTCGCTGTGAGTCGCAAGCGACTTGATGGCACAGTGAGTGAAAAGGCCATGGCCTGAGCCAGGTGCTCCTCAGTCAGACTGACATCATTGCTCATTAATAAGTTGGAGAGGTTCCTGACAGCAAACGTTCTCAATGCAGTACATCTCTTGTCTGACTGCTAGTACCAACTTTGTTTAGCCGTTGCAAATGTATGGCTTATTTAGGAAGATTAATTCTACAAGCCTCTGACAATAGCAAAGGAGGCAAACATTTATTGAGTGCTTATTTAGAGCCAGACATTGTGTAGGCATTTTATCTAATCTTGCTAAATTCTCACAATAGTTGTTTGATATTAGGCTTATTAATGAGCTCCCTGCTGCAGATGAGGAAGTGGAATTATGTAACTTGTCCAAGTAAACAAAGCTGTTAAAAGTAGAATTAAGCTATCAGTTCTATCAGTCTCATTACAGAGCCCTCACATTTAACTCTGTTCTGCTTATCATGTTATCTGTCTTAGGGAAAATTATGTCTATAGCTTATTAAATATTTCCTATCCTGAGAATCTTGTTGGTTAAGCTCAGACCTTCCGTTTTGCCAAGGACATTGTGTTCAGATGTGCCCAAACATCCAGAAATTGTTTACACATATGTTTGACTCTAGTATTATGCAATCAGAAACAAATACTTTAGAAAATAAAAATACCAAAAAAATTTAAATAAAAATACCTTTTTTTTTTTAACCCACCATTCAGAAAATTGTATTTTATACGAAACAGAAACCCTTCCTCCACCCTTTAATATATGGAAGTAGTACAAAATGGCCAAGTGAGTGGCTAGTCCAATTTACTCCTCCAGTAACCAAGCCAATGAACAGGGAATAAAAACAGGTGCCAAATGAGATCTCAGATCTCAGATGGAAGCTGTGGCATTAGAGAATTAGACTGAGTCCACAAACAGGGAACTGGAGGTGCAGGGATGGCCCAGAAACTGGGAGATTCTATCCACTATCATTGAGAGCGTTGAACTCTGGTGGCTTAGTGGTAAGGAGCTGTGCTGCCAATCCAGAGGCACATGGTTCTGATCCACCAGTAGTTCAGCAAGAAAGATAGATAATCAACTCTCATGGGATTTACTGCCTCTGACCTGCTGGACAGTCAGCTAAATATAGGTGATTTACTGCCTCTGAAAACCTGCTAGAGGGTCAACTATGAGTAGGATTCAATTTAGTGGTCATTGTTGTTATTGTTGTTATGTGCCATCAAGTCACCTGTGACTCATAGAGACCCTATGTACAACAGCCCTAAACCCTGTTTTAGCCTGTACCAATCTTATTGTCTCTGACACACCTACCCTCATTATCCCAGTCACTGAATCAATCCATCTCATCGAGGGTCTTCCTCTCCTGTGCTGTCTCTCCACCCTCCCAAGCACGACGTCACTCTCCAAGGACCCTCCTTGCAACATGTACAAAGTATGTCAGACAAAACTTCAGAATCCTTGCATCCAAAGAGCATCCTGGCTTCACCCTCTCCAGGATGAACCTGTTTGTTCTGTTAAAAGTCCACAGTATATTCAATACTCTTCTCCAACACCACAGCTCAAAGGCATCAATTCTCCTTCTGTCATCCCTACTCATTGTCAGTCTCTCTGATGCATAGTAAGTGATTGCAAAGACCATGGCCTGTATCAGGTGCACTTTAGTCTCCAGACTAATATCGTTGTTCTTCAGTAGTTTGAAGATGTCTCTGAACGCAGTGGTACATGACAAAAACAACAACTTTGGGAGGAGCAGTTGGTGGTCATTTGGGATAAAGCTATCCCAAACAGGGAGCAGAGAATAGAGAAAGGAAGCTAATTTGAAGCAACTGCAACTTAATTATTTTAAGGCAGTGCAAATTATCTGTCAAAGTTCTTTAGTCACACAAATGAGAGAGGTGAGAGACTGTAATACTGCAAGAGCATGATATTGAATCTGAGGCCTGAAAGAGATGGGTAAGAGGATGAGGAGAATATGCAGAAGCAGCAGTTTGAGGGGAACACTTTAGAGATTCAGAGAGGACATGCAGAGATGCAGAAGGAAATGGCCCACAGCAGGGTGTCAGTCCTTCCTTCTCTTTCTGTCTGTCATAGTTAAGAAGCTCCCCTAAAACTGAAGCATCATAGCAACACTCCAGCCTCCACTGTCAAGTGGTGGTTAGGTAGAGATGCACTGTCTAGAACTCAAACTCAGATCCCCTACGTGGAACATAATCCTTTAACCACTGAATTGTTAATGCTCCTGTAATTCTGGTAGGGGATATTATAATCTCACAAAAACACTTGCTGTCTCTAGTTTTATCAACACATATTCACTAATGTTTAAAATCAACTTAAAATTTGATTAGTATCAGTACTGCTCCCCTTCATCCATTGAGGAAGTTTGATTTGGCATAAAGCCCAAAGAGAGTCACATCAAGCTATGAAAACTGTCTCCATAAGAATGCTTTTGCTTGAAATTCTCTGTTATGTTCTTTGACTTGTACTGGAATTTGCAGGTTCTCAAAGAGGTAACAGAGAGGGATTATTAAAGTCCTGAGAAAGGTAAAGTAGTTGTCAAAGTGCCTGATAATTAACAAAAAGAAGTTATGTGTCCAAAGAATTGCAATCCCTCTCTTCTCAATAGAACTCAAAGTGAGTGACTCTGGTAGGTGAAACAAGGCCCTATCATGCAGGACGATGGTGCATATATGTTGCACCTCGTCATCCACACATTATAGTCATAATCAGGACGATCACATCCCTCAGTGGTGAGACATAGAAAGAAAAGCAGGAATCACACTGGGTTTTTAAATGAATGATATTCATTAATTATTTTAATTGATCCTGTAGGAAAATGTTGAAGATGGTCGAGCAAGTATCTACCAATCTGTCATCACCAACACCAGCAAAGAAATGTCTTGTTTTAGCGACTTTCCGATGCCTGAAAATTTCCCAAATTTCCTGCACAACACAAAGCTTCTGGAATACTTCAGAATCGTTGCCAAAAAGTTTGATCTCCTGAAATATATTCAGTTCCAGGTACAGTATTGCAGGAGAATGGGTTTGTCTATGTTAAGGCTCACATCTAAATAGATAGTTTCTCTGATTTAAAAAAAATGCCAATAAAACAAATTATTCCATGATATATTATGCAATGCCAAAAAGAAATTTCATGAAACACTGCATACCATAGATGTATCCAGAGGACATTATGCAAAGTGAAATAAGTCAGTCAAAGGACAGATATCATATCAGACCCTGTTACAAAAAAACCTAAGGGAAGGTTTACAAGATGCAGATAGAATTATCCTTTAATTGTTACCAGGATTGAGAAGGAAGGGGAAATAAAATAAAACGTAGTAAATATATAAAAAGAATATATTAAGATAGATTAAGAGAAAGTTAATATCCAGTAAGGGGTAATCAGCACAATACCACTAAAGAAAAAGAAGACGTAGAGAACTAGTTAAAGGAAATTGGTATTTTAGGGAGGAAGTGGGAATAATAGAATTACATTATGAATATTGAAATTAATATTACTGAATATAGTTTCTATGTTGCTTTGTAACTCTTTGCTAAAATCACAATTTAAAAATTTTTTTAAAAAAACAGACTGTGAAAAAAGTGATATAACCACTTTGGAAATATTTTTCTCAACAAACTATGCTAATCCAATTCTTTCTTGAATAATAAAAGCATTATCTTAAATGCAAAAAGAAGTATCATTATAGCTGACATTATAAACTATATACACTAACATAAAAAGAAAATCACGTGTTAATGTTAAAAGGTTTGAAAGATTACGAATCCCGACAGTAAAGCAACATTTAAACAGTTTATTACCTTTGTGCACTCCTCGTCCTTTTCCCTTGCAAGGGCATAAGAAAATAAAAGAGCTGTTTTGTTCTTGCTTTCTCTACGGAAATGAGGTTTCTTACAAAATGTGCTAAAAAATTCTCTATTTTCCATTCATCTCAGATTGCTGTGGCATCTCATTTTGCTATTTCTTTATTTTCTGCATGCAATATCTGGAAACATAAAGATGACTAAATCCTTTTAAAATACACTTAGAATTTCCTTATCCCGTGTTTCTTTAAAAGCAATACTCAGGAAGGGGTGGGGGAAGAAATATTCTCAGTAAATATTCTGTATTTTTATCAATAATCTATATTCTGAGAACTAGTAACTCTACTTAGAAAATAATATTTCAATTACATCTCCTACTAAATAACTTTCTGTTTTTACCTGACCATTCACTTTTCCCAGCATGACACCTTTCTTTCAAGGACAGGTTCCTCCTGGAAACATGACTGAAGTATGTAAGATGAAGTTTTACCATCCTCGGCTCTAAGGAGCATCATGGTTGCACCTCCTCCAAGATAGAAGTGTTCATTCTTTTGACAGTCCATGGGATGTTCAGGACCTTTCTCTAACACAACTCAAAGGCATCAGTTCTTCTTAAGTCATTCTTATATTTTGTCCAATTTTCAGGTACGTTGTTGTTGTTGATTGCCTTCAAGTCGAGCATGACACATGTGACCCCATGAGCAAAAGGCCTGAAGCCCCTCTACAACCATTGACATTTATCAAAGTTCACAGAGTTTCCAGAGGCATATTTTTTAGGAAGTGGATGCCACTCCTGCTTCCAAATTCAGGTACATAGGAAGCACATATACATACCATGGCTTAGGTCAGGTGCACCTTCGTCTTTAAATTGCCGTTGTTATTCTTTAGCACCCTGGAGAGATTCTTGACAGCATATTTTCCCACTGCAACACGTCTTTTGACTTCTTTACTGCTGCTACCATGGGTGTTGTTTGTGGATCTAAGTAAAACCTCAGTTAATATAATACTCTGAACTATAAAATCTGAAGTCCTTTCTTGCAGCTGAAAAGTTGCCATTTTACAGCCCTCTCACAAGCATATGCATTTTCAAAGTGGGACCATTTTAAAAAATTCCAAACTAGCATTTTGAAAAATATCTGAAGCATATATAGGCACACAAACTTGTAAACAAGAAGAGGGTTATGTCTTTCCTCAAGAAAGGAGAAAAGTAAGACTACTACTTGACATTGGTTTTCTACTACAAATCAAATATGCAATATTTATGTCCTTTTAAAAAATTCAGGAGCCTTCTTATAGGAAATAAGTTACATTAACAAATCCAAGAATCAATAGACTATTCCATTCAGACCTTGAACTGTATAGCAAGTACATTGTACTGTTTCAATAATGAAAAATGTTAGCAATTAGCTGTCATTGAGTGCTGGCAGTGTGTCAGGCACAATGCAATGTGTTTACATAAAATATCTTCTCTGAGTCCTTACAAACACTGATTGTGTGGCCACTTGAATGATTGGCACATGTTTGGTATCATTGCTCAGATTTCTTTCTCTCTCTTAAGTTCTTATTCAGTACTTCACACCCTTAACAGCCTTATTCCCGCTGCTGGATCAGGCTTCTTACATAAAGCTGAATAACTGTAGAGCCAATTTTTATATAATAGTTCAGTTCACAGCCAGAGAGGAATGAGAAGGGAATACTTAGCTTACAGTGGAGTCAAAGGAAACCTAAATGTGGTTAGACATTGCATTCTACCCATCCTCACTTGGAGAACACTGTGCACAGCCCATAATGTGTCCAGTGTAGTTCTGCAATAATAGGCTCGAACATAGTGATTGCGAGGATGGGTCAGGGCCAGCCAATGTTTTGTCCTGTTCTACATCATCAGCTCACTCTAGTTGGAACTGACTTGACAGTACCTACCAAGCAAAATTCTGAATAGTGAATTCTCCGTTTGTTCAAGACAACTGTCCTCAGTGTGAAAAGACGCCCGGATTTCTCAACCTCTGGCCAGTGGGAGATCGTGACTGTCTGCAATGGCAAAGAGCAAAGTGCGGTCTTTGATGCAGTCATGGTTTGCAGTGGCCACCACATCCTACCTAACATCCCACTGCAGTCATTTCCAGGTGAGGCCTGCAAGGTTCCCAGATTTTACAGTAAGTGTCCAAATACTCCTTATGCAGTTTGGATGGAGAGGTGGGTTTAGCAGCTGTGACTCAGCTGAATATTAAGATCGCTGAATAAATGCAAGGTGAAAAACTCCAAACCCTATCTTTTCTTTCCCCTTTCTGAGTCTTCATTACACAGGGAGTTCAGCCAGTTCACTCCAAAGTTGCTCAATCTTCCCTAGAATTTAAAGAATTCCCACTCTTTCTTCAAAAGATAGGCCTTTCATCCATAAACAAAGGTTGGACTTTTTCAATCCCTCCAGATGAGCCCTGCTGGTGTAGTAGTTAGATACTGGGCTGCTAAAAACATCAACAGTTTGAATCCACCAGTTGCTCCTTTGGAAAAAGATTAGGCCATCTCCTCCTGTTAAGATTTACAGCTTCAGAAATCTGAAAGAAGGGGTCACCATGGGTCCAAACAAATGCTGACCACATGATCCCTTGAATGACAGATTTTTTTTTATATACTGAAAGATTTTATAGGTCTTTCTCCACCTGATTATCAATCTACTTGCAGGCATATTGCTCTCTTAACACATGAACTTTATGTTATGTGTTCCTTTTAAAGATTACATTGCATTTGCAAGGGATTTGTAGAATTCTCCTGTTCATTTATATACAATAATAACTACCGTTATTAAAATAATAACTACTGTTTTTATTTTATGGTGATTAGAAGAGGGTCAGGGATATTAACGTCTATTTAATTCATTTACATGTCATTTAATTACATTTGTGACTTTGTTACATCCTCAGAAGCTTTTTTTTCTGAAAGCCTGAGAGAGAGAGAGAGATGCTGATGCCCAAGCTGGAAAGAGTTAGTTCCTAAAAAATAAAAACTACTACAGGACAGTACAGGGAGCTCTGGTGGCCTAGTGGGTAAGAAGTTGCATTGACAGCACAAAGGCAGGTAGTTTGAATCCACTAGGTTCTTTATGGGAGAAAGATTTCTTCCCATGATTTACAGTCCTTGAAAACCTGCTGGAAGGTCGGCTATGAGTCAGTTCTTACTTGACAGCACCAATGAGCATCAACATGGCACAGTGAGTGCAGAAGTAGACAGAGGAGGAATGGCCATCTGTCCTGGTGTCTCCAGGCCCTTGCATAGCATGCACACTTCCTCCCCAGGGCCCTGGAAAAAAAGATCTCAAACAGTAGTGCTCAATCTAGGCCTCACTAGAAGGACCTCTGAATAAAGTGCTTCATATCACATGTTGCACCACTAAACAAAAGGTTGTCTGTTCAAAGCCACTAGCCACTCCATGGGAGAAAGTTGGACCATCTCCTCGTGCAAAGATTTATAGGCTCAGAAAAATAACAGAGGGTTACCATGAGTCAGAAAGGATGAAACAATAGTGTGTTTTGTTTTCCATTTATTTAGTGCAATGGTTAAGTGCTTGGCTGCCAAACAGAAAAGTCAGAAGTTTGAACCCCTCCAGAATTTCTACAAAAGGCCACTCCAGTACAGAGTGGCCTGGGAAGCCCTAGGAGGCATTTTTACTCTATCTCATCTGGTACCAGGAGTTAGACTCAACTCAACAACAGCGATAGTTACTGACACTGTAACCTAGAGATCAATCCTTCATTATTATGTCTCATGTTTTTCATATTACAGAGTTCTTAATTGCTTTTGCAAAATAATAATGATAAATATCCTAATTACCACACAATGACAGAAATAGCACTGTATGAAGTATTTAAGGAAAAAGTTTAAAAAAAAAGTGTATGAGATTAAAAGATCATTATGCAGTCCCAAAGTAGGCAAAAATGGATCCTCAGAGACCAGCATCTAATTCGGCTCTTAATTCAATGTTTTACATTTTGAGGTTTCTGGTTGGCCCTGTTATTGTGATTCCTCCAGGAGGGAAAGAGAAAGAATAAGTAATTGAACCCAGAAGAGATAACATAAAAACTTTTACTGAAATTAACTTGACATAGTTGCTTACTCAGAACTCATGTCCTTTTCTCTTTTGAAGGTATTGAGAAGTTCAAAGGCCAGTATTTCCACAGCCGCGAATACAAATACCCCGCAGGATTTGAGGGGAAACGCATCTTGGTGATTGGAATAGGAAACTCGGCCTCAGATATTGCCGTGGAGCTGAGTAAGAGAGCTGCTCAGGTGTGATGTTCTCTGCTCACCTTGCACCATTAAGGACAGGAAAGAAGAGGGGTCTATTGGACAAATCCAGTCACACACGGGAGGCTCCACTACTTATGAATTGGTTAGGAGGTTGCCCACTGTAGTATCCCAGACAACCTGGAAGTCAAGAAGCCAAAGTCTACCTTCCAGCCCTGCCACTCTATTACAAGTCATTTGATTTCTTGGAGCTATGGTCCATTCATTTTTTTAAAAATGGGGAATTTGTAACTGATAACTTACAGCATAAAAAGCTTTTTTAATGCATGAGCTGACCTGTTTATATTTTGGTGACATAAGTCTTTTATTTTATTGTGGTCACATACATTGACTACATAGTAGATTACTCCCAAAGGGGACAAGGACCCTAATTTCCACTGGATTCTTCTTTGCTTTCCAGGTGTTTGTCAGCACCAGAAAAGGATCCTGGGTCATGAGCCGTATCTCTGAGGATGGCTACCCTTGGGACATGGTATTCCACACCCGGTTTAGCTCCATGCTCCGAAATGTCCTGCCACGAACAATCGTGAAATGGATGATGGAACAGCAGATGAATCAGTGGTTCAACCATGAAAATTATGGTCTTGAGCCTCAAAACAAGTAAAGCTTTTTAAATCTTTTTTTAAAAAAAATGATATCTTTATTAGGAAGTTTAGGTTGTCTAAAGGTGACTTCCTTTGCAAAACTAAAAATGGTAGACATGATAATTCATACTACAACTTAGAATGAATATCATATCCATCCCGAAGTTTGGACATCCAATTTATTCTGTGGGCCTATTGAGAGAGAATGTTTATAACGAGAAGCGAAGATGTGATTGATCAGTTTCCCCAGAAAGCAAAACTAGAATGATTGCACTTTACCAATGTCAGAAATAACACTGGAGAAGTCACTTTTCAGAGATTGTGGTCTTCTTTTCAAAGCAGGTATAAAGATTATTGCTCACATGAAAAGTCATTGTAGATGCCTCGAAGGCTCCTTCCTACTCTAAGATTTTATAGTTAGTGTTTACATTGAAAGTGAAGGAGAAATATGCCCCAAATTCTCCATCTAATTGTGTATATTTATAAATTCAATATAACAGGAGTGTTTTTCCCCATGGGCAATTTTCCAACTTTTGAGAACCTATTCATGTTTCTTAGGTAAAAGACAAATATCTCTTGACCTCAAAAGTTATAGAGGATTGATTTTTATACACACAAGCAAACTGGAATGCTTACTTTTCTTTAGTTGATAACAGACTCCTCCTCATTACAAAACAGAATAACTATTTGATGCAAGAGAATCTTTCAACAAATGTCAAATGTAATGGTTTCTGTAAGCTTGGCGAGGCCATAATTCTTAGTTACTTGGAAAATCTCATGTAATCATCTTCCATTTTGTGAACTGAGGTGAGCTGTCAACCAGCTCAAAGGGGACTTTCCTTTAGAAATGTGACCTATAGTCAATACACACAGCTGTTCTGGCAAAGCTTTCCGCTCTTCCAGTCCTGGATCTGTCTCATTATCCTCTGACCTCCAGTGTTTGGAAAAGCCAAACAGCCTGTCATCTGATCTGCATATTTTGAGGTTGTTGATCCCTGCCTCCACATGAGTGAAGAGGGTCCTGATATTTGACCTATAGATTTGGGACTTGGATTTCCACAATAGCATGAACAATTCCTTTAAACTAAATCTCTCTAAAGACCCTTCCGTATATAAAAAGAATGTCTATATACATTTCTTCAGGGGATTTTAATGGCTTACTGGTGAGTTGTATTGCCAACCCAAAGGCATGAGGTTTGAATCCACCAATTGCTCTGTGGGAGAAAGATGGGAAAATCTCATGTGCCTCTAAAAACTCACTGGAAGGTCAGCTATGAGCTAGTTCTGACTCCAAAATGCATAACAACATATACTTCTGATTTATTGATATAGTTTCTAAAGTTCAGGTCAATGCACAAAACTAGCAATGAACAAGGAAGAGGACACAGTGGTGGCCCCCAAAACCAAACCAGTATCTATGTATCATTGGAACTACTATGCCTCCAGCACCACTGTGCTCTGGACCATGAAGCCCTACCATCAGGCTGTCACTCAAGTGGACCTAGGCCAATGACTAAAGTCATAGTTGATGGTTCTTAGGCTCTGGCAACTGGTAGAGCCAAGAATCAAGGGAACTGGTATGGTTTCTGCCTATCCCCATCCACTTACAGCTACACCTGTTCAGCCCCAGCCACCTGCCACCACCTTGCAGGCTGGGGAAGACCTCATGGCAATAAGTGAAGTACTTCTGGTCTTGGAGGACTTAGAATCTAAAGTTAAAAACCTGAAAACTAACAGTTTCCCAGACAAAGAGCTCAGCAGTTCTGGCCAAAGTGAAAGAAAGGGTATTCAGCTTTTACTGTAGCCACCAGGCTCCAAATTACCCCTAGGATCCCCTCACTTCAGGACAACGTCCCTCCCAGGGCACTTGGGTAGAGAGAAGCAGCAATTGTTGTCTCCAACCCTGGCTCCTCCTAGGTCCCTCTGGCTACTTTCAGACCCTATTCTTAAAAAAGTTACATTAAAATCTGTCTCAGTCACCGCTTTCACATGAAGAGCTGCAATAGTGATTGCTGTGGTGTGGCTGGGACCAGCAAAAGACCTTCTATAGGGCTGGTTGTTTAATCGTGGGTCTGCTAGTCATAGGTGGCTCTATGGGCCAGACGCTGAACACAGGGAGGAATTCATGCACAAAATAGTCAGTAGAGCATTGTAATATTGTTTGAAATGTGAAATGTCAGATAATGATATAATTGATAAATGAGAAGTAGATGCATATATTTAAATATGTGTCTTTCACTGGTTTGTTTGGGGATTGGGGTTTTAGGGGTATTTTTTTTGTTTTGGCGGGGTTTTTTTGTTGTTTATTTCACTTGTTTTACACCTCCATGTGACTATGTATTCTGAGATTTCAAATATGATCACGTGCTGAGGAGTCCTGAACACTTTCTATACTGTCTGGAAATGGCACTGTAAATTAAGGGGCTTTTCAAGAATTCGTAAAAACCTGACTGGTTGAGTCACCCCAAACTGTATTATCAGCTTTATTCTTGTGTTACAAACCATTCCTCTTTTATTAAAAAAAAAAAGGTAGATATCCTCTCTTTTATTTAAAAAAACCAAAATCCAAGAAACGGTTCCTAAATCAACACAAAAAGGAAATGCAGAAATGTAAACTGATTATGCTCCATTTAATCACACTATTATAAACAGAGACACCATAGAGATTTTGGAAACAAGAGGCTGCTTTCCATTAGGGCTGTACCATTTTACATCCCCATCATCAGTGAGCGTTTCAATCTCTCCACACTTAGCCAGAGTTTATTGTTTACTGTCCTTTTGGCCTTTACTATTGTTTCTGCACAATAATATCTCTATCCAAGGGAGTAGGACTGGCAGTCTCCTCCCCTGAGATTTACTGCCTCTGAAAACCTGATGGAGGGTGAGCTATGAGTCCATTCTGATTCGACAACACACAACATTGTTGCTGGAGTGAGACAGCACGGATATTCTGGATCAACAAATAGTTCCAATTTTACACATTCACTTTTATTCAGAAACTTGGAAATTTTCAAAACTGAAATTACAATCAGATACAGTTGATATAAAACAGCAATATAGTTAGAAATATATATATAGATATATAGATTAGATAGAGATAGAAAGAGAGAGAGAACATCATAGCCAGAAGTGTGTTCAAGAGGCTGAATAATATCTAGAATAATTTGGATTTATCATAAACATTAGCAATTTGTCTAAGTGACTGGAAATATCTTCCTCTTTGAAATGTTTCTTCTCTGCAATATCTACCATATATATATATATGGAATGGTTTGTAACACAAGAATAAAGTTGATAATACAGTTTAGGATGACTCAACCAGTAGTCAGGTTTTTACGAATTCTTTAAAAACCCCTTAACTTACAGTGCTATTTCCAGACGGTATAGAGAGTGTTCAGGACTCCTCAGCAAGTAATTCTTCTGAGTGTCTTCTCCTGTACATCTCAGATACCTTATGAAAGAACCAGTACTGAATGATGATCTCCCGAGTCGTCTGCTCTATGGCGCCATCAAAGTGAAATCGAGAGTGAAAGAGCTCACGGAAACGTCTGCCATCTTTGAAGACGGAACAGTGGAAGAGGACATTGATGTCATTGTCTTTGCAACAGGATATACTTTCTCCTTTCCCTTCCTTGAAGATTCACTTGTTAAAGTAGAGCATAATATGGTCTCTCTTTATAAGCACCTGTTTCCCCCTCACCTGCAGAAGCCAACACTTGCATGCATTGGCCTCATCCAGCCCCTTGGTTCTATTTTCCCAACTGTTGAACTTCAAGCTCGCTGGGTGACAAGAGTTTTCAAAGGTGAGTGAGTGACTGAGGGTTTCACACCTGGTGGACAATACTCAATAATGAGTCTTCATAAGAAGTCTTGGCTACTCTCTCAAGATTAACAGCTGAAAAAGTTAGTAAAGAATATTCAGATAATAAATGTAGACACACAGTAACTTAACAGTAGGGAGCTGCTCTGCTAAAAAGGAACGCAGTTCGAATCCACCAACTACACCACAGGGAAAAAAGATGGGCAATATCTGCCCAGGTGATTTACTGCTTTTAAAAATTGCTGAAGGGTCAAATATAAGTTGTTTCTGACTCAGGAGTACATAACAATAATAACAATGGGCTCAAGCATATCAGAGATTGTAAATAGGGCACAGAATAGGACAAGGTTCCATTCTGTCATTCATAGGGTCACTATAAGTAACAGTTGCTTCAATGGCATCTAACATATAATCGCTTTAGGGACCTCTGATGGTCTAGTGTATAAGAAGTTTCTTTGCCAATGCAAAGGAGGCTGGTTTGAATCCACCAGCTGCTCCAATAGAGAAAGATAGGCAATCTCCTCCTGTTTGAAAACCCACTGGAGGGGCAGCTACGAGTAGGTTCTGACTGGATGGCAATTACTTTGACTTTTTAAAGTGTGATTATCCCTTTAAGAAGCTCTGTTGGTCCACTAGGTTATATGCTGAGCTGCTAATCAGAAATTAAGTAGTTCAAATCCATCAGCCATTCTTTAAGGAAAAGATGGATATTCTCCTCCCATAAAGATGTACAGCCTTAGAATCCCCACAGAGCATCATTACGTATCAGAATTGACTGGATTGTAGGAGATTTGATATGAGGATAGCACTCTTTCAGGAATCTCTTTTGGCATAGTGCAGTACATGTTGGGCTGCTAACTTAAAGAAAGACTGACAGTTGGAATCTGCAAACTAGTCCATAGGAGAAAACAGAAACAGTCTGCTCCTGTAAAAATAGCCTCAGACACTGGATGGAAAGTCACTCTGAGTCTGAACTGACTAGATGGCAACGGATTTGGTAGGTTTGTTATTCCTTTAAAGACCTGGACAGATTAGAGAACTTTTAAGTGTCATCAAAAATTTAAACTCATTGTCATCCATTTGATGCTGGCTTATAGCAACCTTCTATCAGGTTTCCGAGGCTTAACTGGAGGAAACTATCCATCTTTCTTTAGGCGAGAAAAATGTATAGAGTTATTTTGGTGTCATCGCTTTTGACAGTAATAGCTGATATGGTTCACTTCTGCTTTCCCTAGTGATGCCACTGAGAAAGGGCATACCAAAGAAAATGTAAGTGTGGTGTTGTTGTAGTTAAGTGCCATTGAGTTGCAGGCAACTCATAGCGACCCTATGAAGGAGAGTCCTTGATGCTTGGGTGCCTTTCATCCTCTCTCCGGGTTCATAGGGTTTCCGGAGGCAAGCTATTATGAAAGTGGATGCATTCCTCCTTTCAAACTTGTTTTAATCGGGGAGCTCCACCCCACTCTCTGTCCGCATTGGGTAGCCAATACATTAATGCATTTGACACACCAGCGTCATGGTGTTCAGCCTCACAGTAACCAAAAGTGAACGTGGTATGGCAACTTGTACTCTAGGGCTATAAGACCTAGAGGAATGTCTGAGCAAAAACAATTAAAGACAGGCCCAAGGGCAGTGAGTTAAAAGTCACCCACCTTTGGCTTGATAGCATCACTTTCTGTGCACTGGGCCAGCTGATCTCTCTCTCTCTCTGTTGATATTATTGTAAGTGTATTAATGTCAGTGTAGTCACAGAATTAATGAGCTCAGTTTGGGATTCACTGTAGTTCCTGATGGCTACCATTCCCATTGGCACAGAAGTTAATTGATTGGCTGCAAACTGAAAAGTTTGCCGTTCAAGTTCATGAGTTGTTCTACAGGAGAAAGACTTAGCAGGCTCATTCTAAAAGATTAAAGGCTTGCAAACCCTCTGGAGCAGTTCCACTCAATTTGACCAGGCTGCTACGAGTCAGAATCAACCTGATGGCAATCAGTTTTAAGTAATATTTAGTAATATTTAATGCTGACTGGTTTTCAATTCAAGTCTGAAGCTCAGGACCCACGTAGACTTTACGTGGGCTCACAAATAAGATCTTCAAATCTACTACCTTAGCCCAAGAGATTCTCATCTCACCAGGATTAATCCAATAGCCCCCCTAAACTCTTCTTCCAGCTTCCCAGAACCCATTTTCCAAATTCAGCAACTTAGAAGGATCTTCCTACAAGGCACGTCAATTTGTTGGCCCCTGCAAGAAATCCTCCACCAGCTTTCCATTAACCTAAGAACAGGGTCTAACCCACTGAGCATGGCTTCCAGCCTCTTTCCTATCCCTTCCCCTTATGGTTTATGCTGCAGATGGTGCTACAGGGGCAGGATCCCACAGAGTACGAGTTCAGCAACAGAGTAGCCCAACTGGAAAACATTATTTTAAACCCCAGTTTCCTTTTAGAAATCAACTACAAGATAAAGAAATGCTATTGAATCAAACTCATTGCTCAAATCAACAATTTATGTTCTAGGTTTGTGTATCTTGCCCTCAGAGAGTGTTATGATGTCAGACATTATCAAAAGAAATGAAAAAAGAATTGACCTGTAAGTATGTTTTAAAAATCTATACAGAAACCATTATTTCTCAAAGTACCATCATCCCGCCACCTGTAAGAACCACCTAGCTGTTGTTAAAATGAAAATTCCTAGTACACATCCCAAACAAACAGACCTCGAATCTCTCTGAGTGGGACTGGTAGCATAGTGTGTTACATGTTGGGCACCTAACCAAAAGGTCCACCGTTGAATCTACCAGCTGTTTCACAGGAGAAAGATGAGGCAGTCTGTCCCTTTAAGACTTACAGCTGTATAGAAAGAGAAGGCAGAGTGAAAGACCCCATATACACCTCAACCCAGGCCTTGTGCTTGGTTTGTATTGTGAATGGGGTAACATGGCACTAAGGAAAAAATAAGGGGGGGGGAAGGGAAAAAAAAAGACAGCTTTGGGCTGGTCCAATGACAATGGGTCATCAGAAACTATTAACATTAGTGCAACTAAAGTTGGTATACACACACACACACACACACACACACACACACACACATACACACACACCCGCTGAATGTGACTGGGAAGGAGGAAAAAAGACATATAGCTTTGGAAACCTAATGGTCATCATGAGTTTAAATCGACTTGATGGCAGTAGATTAGGGATTTTTTAAATTTTATGTTCTTTTTACAAGATTTTTGTGCACACCTCATTTTAAGAACCAACTAAACACAGCAATTATATCAAAACAAGCTAACTCCTATCCTCAATTAGAATTCTTCTAGCAATTATTAAACCTATACTGTATGGTGGCCTAGTGGGTAAGGAGTAGCACTGCCAACTCAAAGACAGGCAGTTCAAATCCATCAACTAGCCCCGGGGAAAACTATAGGTAATCTCCTCCTATACAATTTATAGCCTCTGAAAACCTGATGGAGGGTCACTGATGAGTCAGCTCTGCTTTGACAGCAAAGAGGAAGTGTGTTTTTTTTTTTAATGTGCCAGAAAGGAGAGCTCTGGTGGAGTGGTGCACAGGGAGTTGGGCTGCTAACTCAATGATGACACATTCTGGCGGTTTGAACTAGCAGCCCTATGGGAGAAAGATCGGCAATCTCTTGCGTGATTTATAGCCTCCCAAAAACCCACTAGAGCATCATGGATGAGTTCATTTCAATTTGCTGGCAGTGAGTTTAAGAGGGACTTCCTGGGTTGTTTTTGAGATATGCCAAAGAGACATCACACATGGTTGATAAAATTCAGTGTCAGTAAAAAAAGAAGGAAGCCCTCACAGAGATGCATTAATGGAGTGACTACAACAATGGGCTTAGCACAACGGTGACTGTACGGATGGCGCAGGATCAGGCAATGTTTGGTCTGTTGTACATGTTGCGAATGAGTCAGACCTGACTCAACAGCACCTGGTAACAACACATGCCAGTCTGTGCACTAATGTTTTAATAATTTATCAAACAAAAACAGACTATTTTCTCTATGCCAGACACCAAGTGAAACTTCCCTTTGTGTTACTCATTAACCTTCGCAGCACTCCCAAGAATCATATACTTCCGCAGAGACTTGCAGCTACTTAATAAATATCACAGCCAGAACTTGGTCACCTTCCAATAACTTCCATGAATTTATGAATACTTCTGTTACCACCTTAATACTTTCCCTCCTAGGTATGGGCCTTCTGAGGGAATAAACTGACATTTTTCTGTTTAGAGAGCCATTTAAAAACTCATATTTTTTTTTCTCACTCATTTCTTTATTCTTCCGGAAGCTGTTGAAAGCCTATTATGTTTGTTGTACTCAGTGTTTTGTGAATCTGCCTTTTTTTTTTTCTCTCTCTCTCTCTCTCATATTCTTTATTAAGGTTTGGAGAGAGCCAGAGCCAGATTTTGCAGACCAATTACATTGACTACTTGGACGAGCTCGCCTTGGAGATTGGTGCGAAGCCAGACTTCCTCTCTATCTTGTTAAAAGATCCTAAACTGGCTATGAAACTCTATTTTGGCCCCTGCAATTCCTATCAGTATCGCTTGGTTGGTCCTGGGCGGTGGGAAGGAGCCCGGAGTGCAATCTTCACTCAGAAACAACGAATATTGAAGCCTTTAAAGACCCGTTCTCTGCAGGCTTCCTCTAATGTCTCCATTTCCTTCCTCTTGAAAATCCTCGGGCTCCTTGCTGTTTTTATGGGCCTTTTTTTCCAACTTCAGTGGTTCTAGCCTGTCTGCATGAAGCCTTTGGATTTACTGGCAGTCAGGACCTCTTGAAGAAAAAACAAAAATCCTAAAAGGAAAACAATATTTTATCTTCATTCCAAAATTTAGATTTAGGAGAAATAGAGTCAGGGTAACTGGGGACCTAGCAGAATGTGGGCAATGTATAAACAACCGTGCATAAACTGTAACATGGAATTCCCTGGCCAAACCACCCTTTCCTCAAACTCACCAAGCTCTAGGAAAAAATTATCAAGGAGCCTGGTGAATCGGTAAATAATAAGTACTTACTGCCAGCTACAATATAGGGGTATTATGTGCGGGGGGTGGGGGGGGGAACATTATATAGAACAGAAAACAAGTTCATGGTTTAAACTACTGGGTAATTTTAATTGTGGGTGTTTAAAAACATGCACAATATTCTGGATAGCATTTCTATGAGGACTTTATTTGGTAAAAAAGGTCTCAACTATTAGGTCGGTGGGCAGACAATGTAGGGAGTCACAAAAATATTGGAGAAAAATTGAGAGGGTAAATTTAGAAAACAACATCAGAGGTGGGCAGATTTTTAGAGCTTCATATTGAAAGACGAACTAATAACACTTCTTATAATTTGACAGGAACGCTACTGTAAAAATGAATATAAACCTGCTGATACTAGCTGACTGTATCATAGACTATTGTGCTATATTCTAATTATGTGTATTATTTCATTTGCATGACTATTCTGCAAGATGAATAAACTACTATACCCATTTTACAGATGACGAAACTGATATTCAGAACAGTTACATAACGTGCCAAAGCTAGTATATGATGGAGCTGGGATTGGAATTCCAGGTCTTTTTTACTTTAGAAATTAAGCTTATACACTCACTCTATCATACCTACAAAACCTTAATTATAGATACTTAGTAATAGACTATGTCATTTATGTTCACATACATGTTACCTTGGAGGCTCTTTATATAGAAAGCAATATTCTTACATTTATGATATATTTTTGTCACTTTTAGTTTATATTCCACTAAAATCTAAAAAGTATTTGAAGGAATTTACAATAAATGATGTTGTTACAGTTGATGCTAGATTGGCTACAATCCATGACAATTTTCTATATACTAGAATGAAACACTTCTTGGTCTGAACCATCTTCATAATCTTTGATATGTTTCAGTCTATTGTGGTTATTGTATCACTGGCTTCTTCAGGGTCTCCCTTGTTTTATATGACTTTATCGTTTATAAATACAATGTCTTTTTCCAGCAATTGAGTCTTAATGATGTGTCCAAGGCACGTGCGTCAAAGCCTCATCCTCCTCATTTCTAGAGACTATCTTGGGTAAATTTGCACTCAGACTGATTTGTTCTTTTTTTTTTTTTCATCATCCATGATATTTTCAACATTCCTTCCAACACCACAGTTCACATATTGTCAAAGATAACTATAAATTACTATTTAAGATAATCATTGACGTTTAAAAGTAATAAAAATCAAGGGAGAAAAGTGTATGTCCCATAGGAATGGAAATAATTACAATGGTCTAGCGTGTATTTCATTCTAATCTTACAGAAAGCAAAAGCAGACAGCTAAGCAATTTGGTAAGCTTTGCCATCTAACAAAAGGAAGCATAGCAATTTGTTAGGAGAGAAAAATATTTTCTTGGGACTGAAGTAAGAAAACAGTTCAATCGTCAACAGATGTTGAGCAAAATAGTAGATAATCATCTGTTCTTTCCACAGACTACGCTTTAGGAGATAAGCTATGCTACAATCCAGACATACCTCATTAGTGACAAAGGACTTCAAAGAGAAGGCAAAGATCAAGGATACTGAGGCTTTAGACAAATCTCTTATTCCTCCAAAGTCTTTGTGAACAGTTTTCTTAGTTTTGACCTAGATTTTTCCCCCAAGGACTATCTATAGTAGCAGTTAGTTTCTTTGTCAGTGGAAATTTTTCTTTGGAGTCTATTAAAATAACAGCACCCTCTGAACACAAGATTTTTTTTTCTTTGCTTCTGTAAAGAGTCCTTTGGAAGAAAAATCTCAGGAAGCACAGACTTAGTTCTTAATAAAAATCATTAACTTTAAAAATGATATCTAAATTATGGGTGGTTCAAACCTACCAGCATCTCCACCAGAGAAAAGACTTGGCAATCGGCTCCTGTAAAGATCATAGCCTAGAAAACTCTATGGAGCATTTCTACCTTTAGGCAATGTTGCTATGAGTTAGAACTGACTCACTGGCACACACAACATGTTAATAATAGGTTGTTGTTAGGTGCCATCAAGTTGAGTACGACTCATAGCCACTCTATGAACAAAAGATCTAAATCCTGTTCTATCCTGTACCATCGTCACACTTTCTGACACACAAGAGCCCACTGCAGCAGTCACCAAGTCAATCCACCTGGTTGAAGGTCTTCCTTTCCTTCACCGACCCTCCGTCCTTCCAAGCATCATGTCCCTCTCTAGGGAACAGCCCCTCCTAGCAACACGCCCGAAGTGTGTGAGGCGAAGCCTCATCATTCTTGCCTCCAAAGAGCACTGAATCTTTATAGCAGGTTCAAGTCTTTATAGCCAAATGTAGAACACCATCTGTTTTAAAAAAATAAATAAAATTTTACTTCAATAAGAAGATTTTCATTAATAAAAAGATCTCCGTTATCTAGTGCTGCTATGATGGAAAAACCATAAATAAGTGACTTTAGTAAATACAAATTTCTTTTCCCACACAGTGTCTAAAACAAACTCACTCCCGAGTTTGACGCTGACCCATGATGACTCCCCACTGGGTTTTTTAAGCTGTAAATATTTGCAAGACACGGTCCATCTTTCTCCCGTAGATAGGCTAGTGAGTTCAAACAGCTGAACTTTGGATTTCAAGTCCAAGTTAGAAGGCTACATGTCTAAATTCAGAGTATGGTCTCGAAGGATCTCTTTCTGCTGATTCTCGAGGAAGGTCCTCATTTCTTGGATCCTTGATGATCTTTGTGTGACATAGTGTCTGTCTTCTCCCATCTCTACTCTCTGCTTGCTTGTTTAATCTTTCTTATTTCTCAAAAGAAATTGAGTCAAGATATAAATAACATTAACATGGCACACTAATATACCAAAGACACTCCATTCTCAGGCAGCACTAATGACTTACTGCACAGCGTATTTACCACTAGCCGAAGGCACTCCATTCCCAAATGGAATTATAACCACAGTCACAAAAGTCAGGATTTACAATACATATTTTGGAAGAACATAATTAAATTCTTAATGAAACCCATGTTGTTTACATTATTATTGTGGCTGCATTCAAGTGACAAAGGGGAGGAGAGATAGTCAAAGGTGAATAGTTGCAACAGAGACTATGTAATCCATAAAATCTAATATATATACATGCATCTCTTTCTAGAAAAAGTTATCCAATCTCTGTTGTAGAGTTGTTGTTGTTGTTGTTGTTGTTGTTGATCTATCAACATTTATCAAAGTTCATAGACTTTCCGGAAGCATGTTATTTAGGAAGTGGATGTCACTCCTGCTTCCAAACTTGTCATAGTATGTTATTATTGTTATGTGCTATTGAGTCGCTTGTAATGTATAGCAGCAACCCTATGTACAGCAGCCCTGAATCCTTATTATCCTGTTTTGCATAATTTGTCTCATCTCATTACTAACATTCATGTGAAGTAGTACTCACTACTCAACCTCTATAGTACAAAGAACAATTAATTGTCAAATAGATGTTGACTCAATGGGGAATAAAGCTCTAATAGGTCCAAATTAATATTAAATTTGTCTCCCTAAAATTTTTCAGAAAGAGACTGATCTCCCCGAAATCTTGCACATATTCTGGCATTTAAAAAAAAAAAACCCAAAAACATAAATAGCTCATTTCCAGGGAACACTGCCTCTGAGATTGACCTGAGACTTAGTGATGCCCGTTTGTCTATCCTTCTGCCTGATACACCCTGAACTTGAAGTCATGCCAGGCAACCTAAGGTAATGTGTTTCCACAGACCAGCTACATTCAAATAACTCAAGGAACCTGCTAAACTGCAGATTCCTAGAAATAACTGCCAGTAACCCAGATCCCTGGAAGTAAAATCTCCTTTGGAATCTAAAGTTTCAACAGGCTCTCCAGGAAATTCTTGTGTACATTAAATTTAGAAGCCATTGGCCTTGGATATCTCCAAAAGAGATGGTTTCAGAGATAGGCCTGTGACATTTTCCACTCCTCGAGGCCAAATTCCTCCTTAGGTTCAGCCTTGGTGCTTCCTGCTGCGGTCCATCGTGTTTATTGTTCTTTCATGAAATGCTCCCTTTTCATCTTAACTTCTCTCTATATTGTAGATAATTGATATTATATTTTAAACAAAAAAAGTTGTTCCACTTGTTTGTTTTTGTTTTTTTTTTTACACTTGTTATTTCTCAGAATATTGAGGAGTTTTTAAAACAAAACACTAGGGCCTGATATGCAACAAAACTTCAAACAATAATTTCAAATAATAAAGATTTTTTTAAAGCTTATTCCAGGAAGAATCCAGAACCCACATTATAATGAGGATGGGATAGGAAGCTTCTTCCCTAAAATCAGCTTTTCATCTTGAAGACACTGCTGTTGTTGTGTGCCACCAAGTTCATTCTAACTCACAGAGACCTTGTAAAGCAGAGGAGATTTCCCCACAGGATTTCCTAGGCTGTAACTTATAAAGGAGCAAAAAGCTAAGTCATTTTTTCTGGTCTTTTCTCTCACAGAGCAGTTGGTAGTTTCAAACCATTGACCTTACAGTGAGCAGCCAAGCACTTAACCACTGTGCCACCAGGCCTCCTTCTGAAGATACTGCTCTTGTTGTTGTTTGTTAAGTGTCATTGTGTCATGGAAAACTCATAGCAACCCTATGAACAAAAGACCCAGACACTTGTATAACTTTCATCCTCTCTCCAGGTTCATAGGGTTTCTGGAGACAAGCTATTACGGAAGTGGATGCCACTCCTGCTTCCAAGCTTATTTTAATCGGAGAGCTCCACCAAACACTGTCCACCATGTGCAACCATTA